AAGAAATTTTTGAAATTGGTCTATAACAAAGATTTATCGGTAAATAATTATAATAGACATTCATCATATGGGGTATGAATTATACCTGTTGACTTTTTCAAAGATGTCCAAAAGTCTAATTAAAAAAAGAGACAATATACCAAAGGGGAATCTACAATTTAGAGTCAGTCCAATAAAACAGATAACACCATGACCAAAAATAAAAAAACGACGAAAAAACACATAATAACAACACATAAAATACAAGACAAAAGATTGACCAACACGAACGCTACTAAAAATAAGGTTTGAACTCTAGTGCACCGGGATTGTAGGCAGTTCCTACTCCACATGTAACACTCCCCATGTTGCTCAATGACATGTACATTAATTTTTAGAATTCGCTTCAAAATTAATGGAACAAAATATTTTGGTGTTGTTTAAAATTCTAAAAAGAGGTATATATTTTACTGCTATCTCTAAAATATGCACTGTCATATACGGAATTAGATTGCTTTTGTATTATATAAGAAATTTGATTTTTATTAAATATCATTTGTGGCCGCCTTTTAAACCATAAGGACATAAAATGACACCTTTAGTGTCAGATCAAACTGATAATGTTGTTGTTGCAACAATACCATTTTGTATTTAATGTTATAGAAAATTGTAATGTCCCATTAAATACTTAAACTATCTAGATTATTCAAAATTGATATAATTACGTATACAAAACATTCAATTTATAAGATTTTGATTTCCAATATAAATGATTTTTTTTTTTTTTTTGTAATGTATTGTCTGTTAAATATATATATTTTTTATATTTGAAAAAAGTAGGCTATGGTATATTTATCCAATCTTAAAGTCATATGAAACGAGTTTGTTTGTAATTTAAGTGTGATTGCACCAATGCATGCATATATATATACTCAACTAAGTCCTGTAAGCAAATTTTTTTTTTATATGTATTACGAATCTATAACGTATTATCGACAAATGATTTTTCTTTCAGTGATTGTTGATCGCAAGCTAAATAACTTTCGAGTTTGTTGCCTAAGTTTCCCGGATCGTGTCATTGATAAACAATCAACACATTTGCTAATTAAACCTTTCCCTCAAAAGTTGTTAAATTATTTGCTGTGTTAAATTTGTTCTTTAAGAATCAGTTATTATTATGTATCTTCCAGTGCACGTTTGTTTACATTCTTTCATCACGCACAGTTTTCCCCTCGCACTTGCGCTGTGCGGTGACCGAAGTTCTAACGAAATGTCTCTTAGTTAAGGTCACTGCATACGGGAAAATATCGGCGAATTAATGTACGGGAAGATAATAATTCAATAACAGTACATTTATGAAGATTTTGATAACATAAAGGATGTTCTTTTACAAGAAAGATCACGTACACTTGTTTTATAGTAAAACTTAGCCATTCAACATATTCAAGTGTATAAAACATGTTAAACTTTGAAGTTTCACATGACTTTAACATGAAATAATCAAACTATTTGCATATGAATTAATCAGAGGAAATGATGAACAACAGTCAACACAATACTACACACACAACTAAAGACACGGAAACATAAAACAGTCTAAAATTAACTTAATGTAAAATACAGTTTCTCTTGTTTCATGAGATCTTTGTTCTTCGTCATGTTTTCATTCCATTAATAACTTTCAACACTAACTAAATGACGCCATCGCGAGTTGTTTGACTGTTATTGTATATCTGTTCCAAAGATGACGACGGATGTGTTCCATTTTATGTAACCGGAATCCCCAATCTCAGTCGCAGAGATCATATCGGTTCCGTTCAATACTAGTACTACGTAACACTACACTCATATTAAGTGAAGTATTGCGGAGCATGTACGGAACGGATATGAACTCTGCGCCGGAGATTACAGAATCCCGTCCTCTTTTCTTGGAATGTGACATCACGGTATAAGACATATCATCGATTTTGTACTTACATGAGCAACACGACGGGTGCTACATGTGGAGCAGGATCCGTATTTGCTTACCCTTCCGGAGTACATTGAGCCCAACCACAAACCCCCAACCCCACACCCCCACCCACCCATCCACCCCCACCGGATTTTTGTTAGGATCATGTTGCTTGGTCTTCATTTTTCAATGTTTTATTTGGTTGACTATCTCTTATCTTTCAGTCGTTTTTGTTTTTGTTTGTTTTTTTTTTTTTTGCCATGAGGTTGTCAGTTTGTCTTCGACTTTGATGAGATTGAATATCCTTTTGCTTTTCTCTCGCCTCTATTTTACTGTCAGTATCATATATTTTACAGTTATAAAATTGAGAATGGAAATGGGGAATATGTCAAAGAGACAACAACCCAACCAAAGAGCAGACAACAGCCGCCAATGGGTCTTCAATGCAGCGAGAAAATCCCACACCCGGAGGTGGTCCTCAGCCGGCCCCTAAATAAAATTGTGTGCTAGTTCAGTGAAAATGGACGTCACACTAAACTCCAAAACATATAAATGAACTAAAATTAAAAAACATAGTAGACTAACAAAGGCCAGAGGCTTCTGACGTGGAACAGGCGCAAAAATGCGGCGGGGTTAAACGTGTTTTGTGAGATCTCAACCCTCCCCCTATACCTCTAGCCAATGTAGAATAAAGAAACACATAGCAATACGCACAGTAAAACTCAGTTTAAAAGAAGTCTGAGTCCGATGTCAGAATAGGTAACAAAAGAAACTAAGTAAAATGACAATGATACATAAATGAACAAAGGACTACTAGCAGTTACTGACATGCCAGCTCCAGACATCAATTAAACTGATTGAAAGATTATGTCTTCATCATATGAAAATCAAGTACAATCTCTCCCGTTAGGGATATAGTATCATACCATCATAAAATATATGAGAAGAACATAACCCGTAGCATGCCAACAACTGGTTTTAGAATAAATGTGTTTATTTCCGATGCAAAGACCCTATGAGTGAATCAATATTAATACCAAAATATGCAATCCTTAATGACTTGACAACAGTATCGTAACTATATCCTTTCCGAACAAGTCTGTTTAAAGGTTTGGTTAGCTTTTGAGGTGAATGCCGACATTTTTGTGCTTTGTAAAGAATATTACCATAAAATATTGGATGTGAAATACCTGAACGTATAAGATGTCTGCATGTTGATTTATATTTACGAATGATGTCCTTGTACCGATGATAAAATTTAGTAAATGTTTTGACTAGTTTGTGATATCGAAAACCCTGGTGTTATAATTTTTCAGTAATACAGAGATTTCTTTCGTTGAAATCAAATACGTTGTTACATACACGAGCGAATCGAACAAGTTGAGATATATAAACACCATAAGATGGCGACAAGGGAACGTCACCATCTAAAAATGGATAATTAACAATAGGAAATGAAAAATCATCTCTTTTATCATAAATTTTGGTATTAAGCTTCCCGTTAAAGATAAAGATATCAAGATCCAGGAAAGGGCAGTGTTCATTGTTAGTATTAACTTTATTTAAAGTCAGTTCGGCAGGATAAATCTCTTTAGTGTACATACTGAAGTCGTCATTATTGAGAGCCAATATATCATCTAAATATCTATAAAGTGTTATTAAATTTTTGAATCAGATTTTGTTTCGATGGGTCTTTGCTGATTTTAGTCATAAATTGTAACTCATAACATTACAGAAACAGGTCCGCAATAAGTGGTGCACAGTTAGTCCCCATGGGAGTTCCGATAACCTGACGATATACGGAATCTCCATAGCAAACAAAAATGTTATCTAGTAAAAATTCAAGGGCAGTTATAGTATCAAATCAGGTCCAATTGACATAGTTCTTTTGCTTGTTGTTACTAAAAAATTACCTAAAAGAGTTTGAACATATATATTCGCTTTCCGACTTTTTAAATGCCCATTTAATCAGGTGTGTGAATTTTTTCTTAATAAGATTATGAGGCAACGTGGTATATAGGGTAGAAAAATCAAAACTTTGAACAGATTCGAAATCACCAATATAAGCATGCAATTTATCAAGTACTTCCAACGAATTTTTGACACTCCAAAAGTAATTAATTCCACTATTTTCAAAGGCCTTATTTGAACAATTTATTACCAGGTTTTTGATTGTACCAAGTGTACTAGTAAGTAGAATAGATAGTTTAGTAGTGGAACAATGGCTTAAAGACGAAATAAATCTATATCTGTATGGAGTTTTATGCAGCTTCGGAAGCCAGTACATACATGTAGTTGGAACTTTCATTGTATTTGGTTCTGCTTGTAAAGAGGTAGCTAAAAGTTTATGTTTGTTACAGATGTCATTTTCCGAAAATGGAGTCAGTTGGAATGTTGGTGAATTCTTGATTTCCTTTTGTAGAACATCAATGTAAAATTTACGTCAAACAATAATGATATTGTTAGCAGCCTTATCATCCTTATCAGCCGGGACAAAAATATATTCCTTGGCGAGTTCTTTTAGCTTATGTTTGATACGGGAAATTGGGCTATTATGGTTGTTGTTAGGAGTAAAATGATCTTTAAAATGTTGAATACGTATATCAACTATGTTCATTACCGAATTAAAAAAAGAATCTAATGATTTCTTGTCAGCTTTTTCTCGTTTTATCCATTTAGAGCAGTAAGTACGGAGTGAGTCGTGGATGATGTTACGACACTCATTCCAATTAATAATTGACGGGGGACGATATTTAGGTCCTTAAAGTTTACTGGGGAATGATTTCAACTCTCGGTCACGAACGATGTTAAGGTCTCCTGTTATAACATGGGAACTGGGGCCATAAATGTTGATATTTGTATACTTATCTTAGTGTATTTCAAGAAGAATTTTAAAGGACAGTCCTTGCTGAAATGCCATTTATTACACCATTGTAGTAGATAATATAATTATGATTAGCAAATTACGGAGAAATATAAAATGACCTCTTGCTTTTTGTAAAAAGAAACCTTTGTCATTAACCAGTACTTACAATTCAATAGCTACAATAGATTCAATATTTTGTTTTTTTAGATCATGTGAAAACGCTATATTCAACAATATTCATGTATTCTAAAGTGTTCTACAAAAGACCTAAACCTAAGCCTAAAACAGAATCTATGATGGTAAGTCATTAAAGCACCGACTGTTTATCTATTGTAGGGAGGCAAGTTTTATTTCAAATGTTGTTTGTTTTTTTTAATTTCGTAAAAAATGTTTCAGAAAGTAAGAAAAAAAAAGTTTACATTGATAACTAGGGGATATAATAAATACAACGTTGAGTTTTAAAAAATATTCTTGTTTTTGTATGTTATAAACAAAATAGTTCGTTTTAGATTAAAGCTGATAATAAGAAGTTTATCTTGAGAGAGAAAAACAAAAACATGCTCTCATCCTATCTCCATTAAGGAATCGATATTACTTATTATTTGCCTCCATGATGATCTTTTGAAGATACTTTTTAAAAAAATAACCAGTATAAGTAAGGCAATGTGACTATATTTTGTGTTAAGGATGTACGCTTCTCTTGTTTTTGAATTTTTGCCAGATATTCGGAATCCTCTGGTTTTATCCGTGTAGTGTCATTAAAAAATTTTGCCCGCTAACCCCTACTTTTCTTTTCATAATATTATTACATATAGTTTAAAAAACCATATTTGAAAATCTTATAGAATCCTTGTTATTTTTTCATAGTTTTTGAAAGAAAAAAGGTGCCAATGTTAAATGTATGAAAAATCTAGAGAGAATCATTTCCCGCCAAATTTTAATGGCTTATATCTCGAAAGCAAGCTCACGGACCCTTCATTTTTTTCTGCTTTTATAGTTCCTTTATCTATATACTATCAATTTATAACAGTCTTTTTGAAAGCTTGTAATTTTGAAACAGAGTAGCGAACATCCTTAACGTGGAGAAGGGGGCGTTGAATTTCATATCTGAAATATTAGTATGGACATTGCATATTCAGATCATGTCTTCCTATTTTGTTTATAATATTACTAAATGATACAGTATATACTTTGAAGTATAACAGCAATGTTATAGTGTTTGCCGGCTTAAAAACACATGCAGCATGCAAATACTGGGGGCCTGATTTCAGAAATTGCAAGCATTGTTTGAAATGATATTGTTTACTGTAATATTGTATTAACTAATTTACTTGTTTTTCTGTATTTCCTTTACCGGGTAAATTGCATTTTCTGAACTGATATTTAACATCTTATTGTAAATGCCATTTCACAAATAGCTGTCTTTTGTTATAAATATTTTTTTAATTCAACGAATTTTTTTATTGAAACAAAAATGCATGCTGGTTATATTCTGGGGAAATTATTCTTTCATTTTCAAGCCTAGAGTAATTCTGCTAGTTTGACCTTCAAATTTAGTTTGGTTAGTTCGTGTTGTTTAGTTGCTGTCTTTTTTTAATATTCCATACAACTCATTTATCCGTATTCATCTTTCACTTACTAGGTGTTAAAATGCTGTTTAATTTGTGATACTAGTATTTTGTTCATGGTAGTAGTTTTGTTTTTATCGTATATAAACGATTGTACTCAATTAATTAAGAAATATGTTTTTCTTTTGCAGATATTTCTCTGCATAATAGCCAGCTTTTCATCAATGACTGCAGCCGTTGTGTCTGTGTTGGTGGTTATGCTGTTTTCGACTCCAACACCTAATTGTAATGGTAGGTTAAACAAACTAAACAAAGAGTTTTCTCAGAGTTTAAGGTTAAACAAATTAAATAAAGAGTTTTCTCGGAGTTAGGTTAAACAAATTAAATAAAGGGTTTTATCATAGTTTAATGTGAAACAAATTAAATAAAGGGTTTCCTCGGAGTTAGGTTAAACAAATTAAATAAAGGGTTTTCTCAGAGTTTAAGGTTAAACAAATTAAATAAACAGTTTCCTCGGAGTTAGGTTAAACAAATTAAATAAAGGTTTTTCTCAGAGTTCAATGTTAAACAAATTAAATAAAGGGTATTATTAGAGTTTAAGGTGAAACAAATTAAATAAAGGGTTTCCTCGAAGTTAGGTTTAACAAATTAAATAAAGGGTTTTCTCAGAGTTTAAGGTTAAACAAATTAGATAAAGGGTTTTCTCAGAGTGTAAGGTTATGCAAATCAAATAAATGGTTTTCTCGGAGTTTAAGGTTAAACAAATTTAATGAAGGGTTTTCTCAGAGTTCGGTTAAACAAATTAAATAAAGGTTTTTCTCAGAATTTAAGGTTAAACAAATTAAATAAAGGCTTTTCTCAGAGCTTAAGGTTATACAAATCAAATAAAGGGTTTTCTCAGAGTTTAATGTGAAACAAATTAAATAAAGGGTTTCCTCGGAGTTAGGTTAAACAAATTAAATAAAGGGTTTTCTCAGAGTTTAAGGTTAAACAAATTAAATAAACAGTTTCCTCGGAGTTAGGTTAAACAAATTAAATAAAGGTTTTTCTCAGAGTTTAATGTTAAACAAATTAAATAAAGGGTATTATTAGAGTTTAAGGTGAAACAAATTAAATAAAGGGTTTCCTCGGAGTTAGGTTTAACAAATTAAATAAAGGGTTTTCTCAGAGTTTAAGGTTAAATAAATTAGATAAAGGGTTTTCTCAGAGTGTAAGGTTATGCAAATCAAATAAATGGTTTTCTCGGAGTTTAAGGTTAAACAAATTTAATGAAGGGTTTTCTCAGAGTTCGGTTAAACAAATTAAATAAAGGTTTTTCTCAGAATTTAAGGTTAAACAAATTAAATAAAGGCTTTTCTCAGAGCTTAAGGTTATACAAATCAAATAAATGGTTTTCTCGAAGTTTATGATTAAAAAAAATTAATAAAGGCTTTTCTCAGAGTTTAAGGTTAAACAAATTAAATAAAGGGTTTTCTCAGAGTTTAAGGTTACACAAATGGATTAAAGGGTTTTCTCAGAGCTTATCCCTGTCTATAATATTTTTTTTTCTCTCGGGACATAACCCAGTAGTCATAATATTGTATGAACATTGGAGGACAGTAATCATATCACAACAATCAAGCTGCCGATGTAACCTGTAGATCTCGCTAACCATTGTATAATTATGTAGAAAAGTATGTGTTTTATTTTCGGTAACATCTTAATTTTTTGCATCTTTGAATAATTTAAAGAAGAAACATGGGTTTTTCTTCAAAATACCTATCAAATATTTTTATCTTTAGACTAGTGTTGTAATCTCTTGTTTTCAATAAACCAAATTAGTCTCATGGTACTTCTACCTAAGGACTCGCCGCTTTGGCATCTTTAAGTCGATTCAATGTTAAAATTAATTCGACTCCACGAGGTTTTTCTTCTCCAACTAGTGATGGCTTAAACCAGATTGTGCACAAATTTTCGAAAGCTTTGATTCTTATTTATAACTTCATTTGACTCTGCATATGGTAATCTAATAAGTTGGGGTCAAACATGGTATTTCAGAAACTACTTTTGTCCTGCTCTCTTTCATAAAAAACCAAAAAAAAAACAACATTGCCACGTGATTCAGTTACAAGTTAGATATTTGTTCTATTTTACCACGAATTGAAAACTATAGGTGTCTACCGGATATCCCCATGCAAATGAAAGTAGTTTGCTACTAGTTTCATTGCCTATAAAAATGTTTCGGATTACTTTTTTTATGTGATTGAAAATGGCATGTACTTCATACAGAATTTTAGATCACCTACAAGTCTTTTCACCGTCATTTGATTGTTAAAAGAGGCGAAAGATTCCATAACGGAGAATCACAGTCCATAAGTCAAAGAAAGACCGACGAAATCATGGCAAACAACGAACAACTACTAAAAAACAGTCCATAAAACACTTTTAATTATTTAAACCACGATAACACACACACACAAAACGGGGTTGATCTCAGGTGCTCCGGAAGGGTCAGCAGATCCTGCTCTACATGTGGCACGCGAGTAAGGTGACAGATGTCATAAGTGATTTAGTAATTTTGCTTACTAGCCCCTCCAACATTCAACCTGGTTTAAGTGGTGATTATCCTTCTCAATCTTATCCCCAAACAGTTAGTATACTTTTGTCAATGCAAATATTTTTTGTTTAAGTTTCTGTTTGTAGTGTAGTACATGTAATGCTTGATTTTACTTTCAGCTAACACATGCAATGCAGCATTTTCAGCATATTTGTCTGAAGCTCAAGCACTGGCAACCAAATCATTAGCTGAAAACGATACAATCGTATTTGATCAAACTGTTTCTAACTGGGATGACGCTTATAGTACAACAACAGGAAAATATACAGTCAAGTGCACAGGGATGTATACATTTACCTGGACAATTTGCGGAGACGCCAAAAAGTATGCCGGGGGTCAACTAGGAGAGTGGGGAACCTATCTAATGCAAGGGACAACTATCATTGGCGCAGTTCATACAGATACTGAAGAATGGTCAGATCATGACTGTTCAACCGGAAGTGTAACTCGTTACGTCATTTCCGGTGATGAAATTTATTTGAAGACTGGTTTCTACCATCAAGGTATTTTACTGAGTATGAAGGACCAGTCGAGATCAACGTTTTCTGGATGGAAAATATTCGAATAGATTAAAAACTCAGCAATATGAAATAATTAACAGCATAAATAATTTGTGGAGACAATTATCTGAGCAAACTTGTAATTAATAGATCATAAGCAACACAACGAGCAAAATTGGTTGACCAGCTTTTTTTTTGCTCTATTCAAACAACTGATTTCACCAGTTATTAATTTATTTGAATGTTTTATGGATATTATAGGTTTCGGAATCATCATCATAGTGGTATTTTCCTGAATTTTTGTACGTTGTTATTTGTTAGTTATAAAAGGTTTTTGTTATTTTTATGTTATGGTCGTGTCTGTATCTTTGTCTAAAAAACAAAGTTTTCGTTTCAAATTTGACGAGGGGCCTCGGTGGCAACGCCCTAACGATAATAGTCAAACTTTGTATCGGCTTTTATCAGTGTACATCTGTCATCAGTTAAATCAGGGAGTAAATAAAATGTAAAATGATAAAATTGCTACATACTTTGCCAATATGAAGTATATATTGTTATATATTTAAAGATATTATAAAAAAAATGATAAGACAGTTGAAAGATGTTGTACTTAAATGCTAAAATCTGCAATAAGAGAACTTGTGCGTTCGTAAATACACAATCAGTCGTTTGTTTGGATGTGTTTCTTTTCTTTTTTTCTTTTGCATTTGTATAGAGGGGCAGATTTCTTTCTGAACTCATTTATGTTGATGAAATAAGCATTACCTTTCGTGAAGGGGTTCGAAAGGAAGGCTGGCCTAAATGGACATGAGATAAGAGTTTAGCGTTATGAGCGAGGACGGAAGTTGAAACTCAAAATTAGCCAATGCAGTAGATTGCAAATCAGAGGTTATTGTGCTTGATTTTTGGACTATAAATCATGCATTATGTACATAAACGTTTAATATAGGACAGTTTTCATCAATATTTTTTTATCATTTTTTACCATATTAATTCGCTCATTTTTATTATCATTTTTTGTTTTGGAAAGGCGGGGCGGGGTGTGTATGATTATAACCAAAATCAATTTCTTCTCAAATCTTAATTTAAGGTTATTCTCTTTTATCAATATTAACTTGATTTACATGTTCCTTTGGTCTGTTTTTTTTTATTATTAATCCTTATATAAACTATGTAGTAATCCAGTAAAGTTAATTTAAACACCATGACTGAAAATATTTTTGTGAAATAATATTTCTTTAAAACCGTCCGTAAATTTTTTATGTAGTTGTGGTATTTATAACTGACGATGATACCATTTAACATATTCAACCTTTATTTAAAACATTCTAAAGCATAATACAGTTAATTTCCATTTCAATCCAAAGCGAATACTTTCTATAAGTATAATGTCTATCATTTACATCATTGTACTTTTTGTATGTTACATATACGGGTATTTAATAATATACTGACGTCTCCGAAAATCGGCGGTTATTTATGGTAAATACATGTAATCACCTAATTTATATGTTCATTAATCTATCAAATATCGTCATTCTATTTAGAAAATAAAAATATGGAATCTTGATAAACACATTCATTACTTCAAAATCTTTTGATAAATGCACATATTTTCTGCTGTATCACACAATCCTGTTTCTATATATAACTTGATATGGGGTGTATTTTTACAGTACATGTAGCATAGATTTACCATAGAGAATAAACAAAAATCTACAGCCTAAGGAAACTAAACGATCGTGTTTTCCTTGACTGTTTATGACATCTCTGTACTAAATCCAGTGTTTGTGTACTGATTGACAGTTAAGTCTTGTATATATAATGTTTTGTTAGTAGCTTTAAATTACTAGCTTTCAGTAAATGCTGTACTTTGTGTCTTACTCCTTTTTTCACATGTTTTCTGTATGTTTTAGGTCGATCTGACGAGTCAAGTTTTTTATCAGATTTTTACAATGTGTCCTTATGTTGTGCTGTAACACGGCTGTGCCAGGTCAGGTTTGGCGCCCGCAATTATGTTTAACCCCGCCACATTCTGTATGTGTCTGTACCAAGTCTGTAAGTCGTCGTTTTTTGCCGTATATCATATTTATTTTTTTGTTTTTTCTTTTGTTTCTTACATAAACAAGGCGTTAGTTTTCTCGTTTGAACTGTTTTATTTACATTGATCATGCTGGGACTTTTTATAGCCTGCTATGCGGTATGGGGTGTTCTCATTTTTGAAGGCAGGACGGTGATCTATAGCAAGCTAGAAAAGTTGTGAACAAACTGAAGAAAGAATCCTTAAAGATAAAAAAAATAAATAATATAAGAAATAAAATGATGTCTTCAACCACAGACGATGTTCCAGATAGCAACATAACCTAGAAAAAGGTTTAAATTGTTTAGTTGATATCTGATTTCTCTTTTATTGGAAAGTCAAAGAAAACATACGATAAAACATGTACAGAAAAGAAAATAAATCACCCAAAACACCTCCCCATCAAATTATGATATCATAAAAAATTACTTTAATTCACGTTTAAAAATCATAGTCAGTAGCAGACTTATGTAAACAGAAAGAAGACATTATACATGTATCAGATTTAATATTTTTTAATATTGCATCACAATGTTTCAAATCATCTGATTAGAAGATGAGAAAAAAGTGGAACTTTAAAAAATGTCATAGCAACAACAATCAAAGGCAGATTATATCTAAGTCAAGGAAAATATTTTAATTAAAATCATTGATCTTTTCAATTTCAAAAAGGTAAAACTAGATTTTTAAATGGAAATATATTTTATTACATTTCTGATACTTAAACAGTATGTTGACTAGATATTCATAATTAATATTAATGTGTCGTAAAAATTGTCTATATAGACAGTTTATCTACAATTTTGAAGGCCATTTTTTGTCAATTACGATAAATAAATTGAAATTCATGTTTCATATGATTATTAAATTTGTTCTTTTAAAAAATGAAATCAAATATTAGTGAGATCAAAGCATTGGATATAAAATTAATCAACTTATGAAGTTGAAATAGAAAAAAAAACTGATTTCATGACAATTACGCATGTGATGACTATTAACCTTGTTGAATCAGAAGTTAATTACCTTTAAGTACCTTATGACATCAATTTGTGTACTTTGTTGGAGGTCTTACTGTTTATTACATGGTGGTTATTAGACATATGCACTTGCTTGTCTTTCATTGATAACTATTTCACTTGCAGCACAACAATATTTTCTAAACCTCAATCATATTTGAATAATTATTTGTCACATATGTCAAAACCATTTGTGACATACAAACAAAAAAGCATAAACTACATGTATATGGTATACGAATTAACTGAATACGTGTATGTGAGAGAAGAGAGTCTACATGTACATGTACATGTACATGCTGAATTTCATGCTCGAGGACAAGGTAGCTTCTGTAAGTAGCAATGCTCAATGCAAAGGGGAAATAACTCACTGCTCATTATTTACCACATTCCAAACACGTACCCAGTTTACAGCTTCAAAAGGACGCTTGTGTACGCAAACCTCACGTTTGTTTCAAACACTCAGATGACTTTGTTTGAAGAATGAGGTAATGATCTATAAATACCAAAGGTATTTTCCCATACAATTTCTATGGTAAGGCGGCATGTTAACGATGAAGCAATAAAAATGAAGGATATTGTTTATTAACTATAGTCCCCCTTTATATTTCGGTTCATTTTGAAGCATATTTCATATTGAGTTGATATATTCTATTGCACATACATACATTTCCCGTACTTAGCTTAAAAATAGAGATAATCTTTGCTATGGTGTTCCTCAATGACTAAGGTAAAAATGCAAACTACAGTTATCTGTTCATGATTTCTTCACTTCCGGTTTTCCGATTCACAGAAAATACAGCAAACTTTTCACAACAGCAATTTTGCAGTAACCAGAAAATTAGTAGATCGTAATGAATATTGATGATAAATAGTTTTTCAGTCATCTAATGATTTCAGATAGGTGCTCTAGGTCCAATAGTCGACTGGGTTGCAAGGTACATGAAAAAGGGGGTAGACAAAAAATAGACGAATGCTAGACAAATTGGACAGTCTACAAAAAAGACAACTCAGACTGTTTATAAAGTCAACTGGCCATCAATAAATCATCATTGACTCAAAGTCAAAGTATGAAATTTAAAGTTTTGACTATGTAAATTATTTAATGAAAAAGACTGTGTCACTGTCAGAAGAGAAATAATATTTAATGAAAAAGACTGTGTCGGAAGAGAAATCTTTTCAACAATAGTCAATATCGTCTCTGATAAATTTCCCATTTTGAGTATACTAAAACATAAAAGACTACTTGGATCGTCTATGAAGAGATCTGTATAGACAATTCAAGTTCACAACTTGTAATTTAATTGTTGTCTTTAGAACAATAAATAAATAACAAATAAATTCAACCTAAACTTTCTTCTTCAATAAAGTATATAAGAAATTGATTCAGATAAGTAAATATTTGAATTCACATTTTTTTATTGTGTCATTATCATAATATATTCAATACATTTTACACAATTTGTTTATCATTATCAGAATTTATGGAATCATTAGATGTCATCATCAATGTCAAAAGAATTGAAAAGAAACCAAGTGGAGGTACTTATAAGATATATATATATATATACTGTTTGCAAAGTAATTTTTTTTAAATAAGTCAATTTTGTTTACAATTTGTACCATACATTGTAGCTTTCATTTAATTGACACACTTGCAGCACTATTTTTCAAGGGATAAATGTGTTACATGTATTTTATAACTGTTATATTACGGACAGTTTTTTTCCACCATACTGAACAAGTGCAGCAGTATATTGATTTTTATCAGCTAGACAAAATCAAATCTACAATAAGGTATATATGGTTGCATGTACGTGTAAGGATATCCCCAGATATCGAGTATTTTACTATACTAATGCTATGCTAGCACTATGATTTTAATTTAATAGCATATTTTGATGTATCTGCTTTTGTTATGAGATTCATGTATATATATATTTTTTTTTCTCAGTGTGAACCAAGTAGTTCTGATCAAGAGTTGGTGTTCAATACACCGGAGAAAAAAAGATTTAAGACCATCATTGTTAGACGGGAAAAACCAGAAGTGAAAATAGTATGTTTAGAGTCTGTTATTAATTTTTATACAAACACGTAAAAGACTAGAGTCAAGTACAATTATGTAAAAAATGACATGTCTTCATGTTATTTTAAGAAGTTTGAGGGTTATATTCATTTAAAGAGAGGGAAAAGATACCAGAGGGTCATTCAAACATAAGTCAAAAGTAAACTGACAACGCCATGCTATGATTCTCACTTTCAATGATGTTTCACAACTCCTGGCATCGGTAAAAATAAGACCAAAACACAAACAATAGTACACAAAACACAAGACAAGACTGAATATCACAAACCCCACCAAAAACTGGGTGCGATCTCAGGTGCTCCAGAAGGGTAAACAGATCCTGCTCAACATGTGACACCCGTCTTGTTGATCATGTAAGTACAACCCCAGTTATACATTGTAAGTCTAATTTGCTAGGTCAAAGTCAGGGGAAAGGGACAGGAATGTTGTTGCGACAATTAGAACATATCCGTCGTTGTATGTTAAACAGGTATTCCATAACGGTCAACCAACTGAGGAAAACAAAAACTTTGGAAAAATGATACATATTTGATCTTCTTTCAGTATTGTGTTTGAAGACGACAACAGCTATCAAACATGGCTGCCACCTTTACTCAAAATAGAAAATTATGCAAAACAATCATTACTAATCCTTCAAACAAACAACTATTAGTTTTCAAGTGGAAATTTATTATTTCTTTATCCAGGTAAAAGATCCATTTGCCTTACGTTACATACAGAAAAATGAAGAACTGAGGAAAGAAAATATTGAATTGAGATCTGAAAACAAGCAACTAAGGGTAAGAAATAAAGATTTAGACAGAAAAAACAAAGGGTTGGAAGAAAAACTCAAAGAGTTGGAAGGAAAAAACAAAGATTTGGAAGAAAAAAACAAAGATTTAAAAAAACAGCAAATATGGCAAGACAAAATGAAAGCCGAAATGAAAGTGCTCAGTGGTCAGATTGATAGTTTCAAGAAGAAAATTAATAAACAGTAATAATTTTAATTTAAATATATATACATGTACTTGTAGAAATATGTCTTCATTAGGACCATTTGCTGACAGCCTTAATATAAATTTTAAAACATTAGAACCTGGAAATGAAGAACAACTTGTCCAAAATATACCACAATTTATGATTAAAAATGGTTTAGTTATTGAACTTTTTATATATGCTAAATCTGAAAAAAGTGAAAAAACAATTCAACCAGAATGTAGAGTAGCCGAAATATTGTCGAAAATTTGTGAAATCGAATTTACCATCATAAATTTACCAACTTTACGATCAAAATTGTATAAAATTCTTGCATGTAAAAAAAAAAAAGGAGGAAAGGGACTAAAAACATTCAATAATGAACAATTCTACATACCGATTCAGAGTTTGTCAAATACCCAGAGTGCAAAA